ACTACTATACAATGCCAAAATTATGTATTCTATAGAAATAAAATATAATATTTTCATAATCATAAAAATAAAAATTTTGTAGTAATATGGATTAGAGGAATACAACTTTAAATTGAAACACCTATTATGAAAATAAATTATTGATTTGGTATTGTGTATTTAAATTTATCAATTTTAAATTTTACACATAAAAATACAAAAAAGTCACATATAACTTATTAAAGAGGGGGGATTAATGAATAGAAGTAATTCCCCTAATAACGAGTGAAAATTAATTAGGATGAAAAAGTTGAAAACTGAATAATTTAATGATTATTGTGTTTTGATAGATGGGATTTTATTTAGCAATGGGTGTGGGTGCAGGAGGAGGGGAACCCTACCTAGTGAACAAAAATGGGATTGACACATGGGCATAGACATGTCACAATCTGATAATCTGGAACTTGACAGTTGTATTGTCAAGGTTCCACACGTGTCAGCCTTTAATTAGGAAAAAGGTATCCCTTAAAAGTCGCTAATTCACCCACTGGAGAGGGGTAGGTCCCAACCCTATACACCCTTTTATCTTATACGATCAGGCCCTCAAGTGTCTGTTCCAAGAACAACAATATGGATGCAAATATGCAATACAAACCCTTCTCGTTCTTAAAATAGCATGTGAGACCCTTCCCTATACTCACATAGTCACATGCATGCCAATGTGCAAAAGGGTTCGGTGCACTTGATATTGTAGGGCCTCCCAAGCACATGACATCAAACTCAGCTCAGGCTGTTTGGAATTTTTGCCTCCTCCATTAGCTTTTCAATTTGTGGGGTTCTTTTCTTTCTTTTTTACAATTTTCTTCTTAAAAATATTCAAAACTACCATAGGATCTTCTCTTCCCCAGCTTTATAATCATTCCCCACTCTTTTTCATTCTAATCTAATGTATATTTATAAATCCGATTGATTTCATTGATTACTGTTACTTGCAAACTTTAACCACATGCATTTCAAGAAAGAGAGAAGAAAATGATCGAATTTGTCTAAATCTTTGAAATAATAGCTAAATTTCGTTAATCCACCTAAACTGAAATTATTCATCACGTACTTGCAGTATATATAATCGTGGAAGATAATGAATTAATGATCCTTATGAACCCTAACAGCTTAACCAGACATGTTTGGTGGGAAGAAATGTCCATGTTTAGCCAGTGGATGCCAACTGCTAATTACTTAAAATGAGTATATAGTTATTGAGTTAATGATGTTTTATTACTTTGATCTGCACTAACTAGTTTAAGAAAGGTTCAGTCAACTAAAACGATATATAACCAAAAGTGAAGAAGCAAATGACAGTGGGATAATATACTATATGCAAATGAAGCTGTCATGGAGCGTGGATTATGCGGGTCAGGTGGTTATGCACCAAAAGATGAACACTGCAACTTGTTTGATTAATTAGTTATTGAGAATGCAAATTTTGACTGTATGTGAAGTACGGTGTAAAGTCAAATTTTGCCTAAACAACTTGGCGATTAATTACTTCAGAGTGGAATATAATTTGGTCATACCTTACACCATTGATTCTGTAAATGTGAAGAAAGATCATTAATATTATTGCTAAAGACAAAAATCAAGAATTATGTAAACCTTGCGCATATTTCTTTTCTGGGAAAAACCTTATATGACTTTTGATCTTGAGTATATCGTATAATAATGCATTATTTGTTTTTGTGAGACCATGAAATGTAAATTTATTGTATTTTCTTTAAAAAAATCTTTGTATTTTACTGTTAATTGGTAATATTAAAATACAAAAACATTTCATACACATCTCTCTATTTTTGCACTCTTGTTACATTTACCTTTACAGTCGCGCATATAAAAAAAATAAAAAATTCACTAATTTTTATGTTTAAAAATATTAATTTTCAGTTTATAGCAAGAAGATAGCCTTGATTCATAAGAAAAAATTTCTCAATTGTAAAAAAGAGATAGCTCTTCTTTTACTTTTTTCCCTTGTCATAAAAAAAAGTGAAAGGAGAATATACATATTAAGAGATGTAAAAATATTGTTGTCCATTAAAGTATTATTGAAATGAATTGGAACAACAAATTGCAAACCTTAAAAATAAAATGGAAACGAACAAGAAAAAAGGGAATGAATCGTCTACAGTTTAAGGTTTTGAATTGCATAGAATGCATTTCACAATCCGTGGAAAATCTTACCACCAAGAACAAAAAGGCAAATCTCCTTTACATTTTTGGATTTAGATGTTATTAAATTTGAATCGGCCCTGTTTATTTCGAAAGGGCCTATATTTTTTAATTAAGGAGAAGGAAGAAATAGGCGCAATTAATAAGAAAACGAATAAGGGTGTTCCATAAAAAAAATCAGAAATTAATCTTGAGAGATAATTCAGTGTATTACTTACTTATTAAGTCGAAAGCAAACTTGAGCACAATCGATCGTTTTCTCAGTATCACGTTTCTCACTTTTTAAGCATAAATATTAGATATTATATTTAATAATAAAGTAAACATTCGCTTTAGTATTTAAAATTTCTAATGTTCTTTAAATTAATATTTTAAAATTAAAATTATAAATATTAGTCTCTAAAATTAACCATCATAAATTAATTTTGTTTCTGTTGTTAATAAATATTAAAATTAAATAACAAAGTAATTATTTATCACATTAAGTAATATGAAAGTTTATCATGAACATAAAATGACGATATTTTAAAATCTTTTAAAATTATTCATTTTTATCAATCTTTTATATTCTCAAGCAATATATAATTTTGTTTATTTTTTTTCTTTTACTTCATCTTTCTTCATGGCGTCTTTTTCTTTAGTTACACAGCAATGATGTATGTAATGTTGTATCTCTGAGCAACAAAACATCAACTTCTCAATTTTATGCGCTTCTTTTTTCTTTTATTTTGTTTTCTTCCCTTCCTTTGGCTGCACCAAAAAATAATGTTCAAAATCTTCAAAACAAGATCTTTGGACTAATTTAAAATGATTAGTCCTCTCGACCTTTTCACTCGTAGTTTGAAAAAGACAAACAAGTTCAAGAAAATCAAAATAATTTGAAATGAAAAGTTATGGGAAGATGGAGGAAGTAGAAATGAGGGAAAGATAGGTAAAGATTAAGAAGATGAAGGAAGCACATGAGTAGGAAGTTGGTGTTCTCCTATAGGAATGTGGAACATTACACACTAGAGCAACTTATGAGAGGTTTGAAAGAGTTGTTGGAAGATGAATGTCGTTGTTACATTCGTTAAAAAAAAAATATCATGGAAGAAAATAAAATAAAAAAAAGAGAAAACGATATTATTATTCAAAATTTTCAAAAATCAAAAATAAAAATAAATTATTTTTTAAAAATCTTAAAATAATGTCATTTTATTTTTAGCTTAAACTTCCGTATATTAATATTGTAACAAATCATCATTTAATTATTTAATTTTAATTTCTTTTATAAACAAAAATTAAATTGACTTACAATTATAAATCACAAGAACTAATATTTAAAACTTTAAATTTAAAAAATTAATTTTAATGATGTTACATATTTCAAGAAAATAAATGTTTATTTTTTAATAATGAGTTTAGATTGATAGTAAGTGTCAAACTTATATACTTAAATTATTTAATAAATTTTCATAAAATATAATATAAGATTGATTAATTTAATTATTTTATATTATATTTATGATTATTTATTAAATTTAACATAATATAAATATTTGTGAGTATACTATCCAGAATTTGTTATTTACTTATATTTTTAAAAATATTAGTTATTGAAAAAATAAATACTACAATGAAGTATTTATTTATTTTATATAAAATTTTATAAAATTGATCTACTTATAAATTTTTTTCAAAATAATAATAAGATTAATTAATCTCATATTTTATACAAAATTATTAAATTCGATTCTTACTTTAAACAAGTTCTCACTCTTTAATAATAATATATACATTTTAAAAAAAATAGTTCTTCACTAATTACTGAAATAAAATAATATAACTTGACAACTATTTATTCAAAACATTAAAATTACTACGGCAGTTAGTTAATGAAAATTATTCTTAAAATAATACTAAAGTTATTACATTAATTAATTGATAAGAATCATTTTTAATAAATAAAAATATGTAATATTAAAAATATTTAATATTTTTATATCAAATAATAAATAATTCAAAATATAATGAGTTTAAATATTTTTATAATTTTTTACTATTTTATAAATATGTATTAAGTAAAATTGTAAAAATTATTTTTCTAATTTTTCTGAGAATTTATAAATATATAGAAAAAGTAGAATTAGGTACATAATGGTAATTACAGTTATCTAAGTTGGTAACTTCAACGCAATACAAATCCCGAGAAATTTATATTATCATCAGTGACAAAAGATGAAACATTCAAATGTTGAAACTCAAGCGATAAAAGGCTGGAAGTGACAATGGAGGAAGAGTAAAATAGAGTTTCTTTATTTTGGTGTTTATTTTCTCTTATTTTAATAAATTGGAATATGTTTTCTCATTTTAGAATAAACAATAAAATAATATTAGAAAAAACTTAGATTGCGAGCAATTAGTACGAAACTGTTATCGTCTCTCACAAATTTAACATGGAAACTTGCTTGATACATGCTTCAAGAACCAAGAGCACCGTACACAACTTCCTTTTGGTTTTTATATGTAAACAAGTTCATAAAACTTCTTAACTGAAAAATAGTCGTGTAAAATTAAACAAAAAAAAGCATATTCAGATCTTCTTTCTATAGAAATTACAATATCACAATTTTACGGAAGCATTATTAAGGAAGAACAATAAAATTGACCTCCGAAAAATTATTATTTAAGCTATTTTAACTTATTAAATATAATAACAATTTTAAGCGATCATTTTTCTTTTCTCCAGATAAATATGTATCACGAGTTATTCATTCATTCATCGAAGAATTATAGTTAAGAAAAGAATCGAAGTAGGTAGCATGTTCCCATTCAATTAAATATAAAAGAATAAAAGGAAAAAAAAAGAAAAAAGAAAAGTAGTGATAGTGGAACTCAAAGGAGGAATAAGCAAATGGCATGTACAGTGTACACGTTAAAATACATGAATCTTGAAACCAATAAAAACGATATAATAATTAAAAAAAATTAAAAAACACCTGGCGCAATACATCCTAGCCTGTAAACAACGCGCCCGGGTCAACTCAACACGCCACCGGCGAGTCCGGCGCGCTACCGGAGAGTATCTCGGCGAGAGCCGTCATGGCTCGCACTTGCATCTCCAACGCCGAAATATAGTCACTAGCTTCTTCCAGAAGGTTCGGAAACGAGACCTTCCGGCAACCGGGAACCAGCCGGCTGAGAACGCGCGCTTTCTTCTGCACAGCCGGTAACCGGCTCCTTCTCTCACCGCCAATCCCGGTTCTCTTCAATCCGGCGGATACTTTCTTCACCTTCTTGTGCTGCCTCTGGAGCTTCTTCCAGCGGCGGAGAATCGCGCGGCTCCACCGCGTTCTTCCCTTAGCGGTGGCGGCGAGGACTCGGTCGGCGGTCTCGCGGACTTGACCGGCGGCTCTAGGCTTGGTCGCCGATGACGTAGTCCGGCGGAGAGCCTCGACGAGGCGGCGGGAGTAGATCCGCTGCTCCACCTCGGAGCTCCACGGGATGAGGTTAAGGGAATTGCGTTCGCCGGCGGGATCTCCGATTTTCTTGCGCTTCTTGTGATTGGATTCTCGCAACGTGTCCGAATTACTGGAATCTATGTTCGGCTGGAAAGACGCCATAGTTAAAATCGCAAGTTGTTGGAAAAGAGAAGAGAAGATGAACGATTAATAGGAAGAATTCAGAGTTTGAACGAAGATGATGATGATGCGAAGTGAGGGGAAGAAAAGAGAAGAAAGGAAAGAGTATAAAAGGAGTTGAAGTCACGGGGAACCACGCGTCCTTCAGTTACTCACATTTATTGCCCCTACTCTTTCCTTTCCGCTCGTTTTTCTGCCGTTTATTTTTATTTTTTTTAATTATTATTATTATCAAATAAAGAGTATAACAATTTTATTGTGGGTTTAACATTGATTTAATTGCGTCTTTGGTTATTGGTAGTTTTTATTTAGAGTATAAAATAAGTTGCGTAATTGATTTGAAGGGGGGAGGGTCTGCGAAGGAAGTTAACTTTGAAGTTTAGTTTGACTAATGAAACGAAATGAAAGATTAACAAACAAAGATGTGCTTTGAATATGATAATAAAAATAGAGAGATAGAGACCTCACATGGCACCTCCCATGAGCAAAGTTTAGGTTTATTTGATTGGACAAGATGGGCTAGTGGACAACTTGCCTAATTAATTTTATCGTGTTCTCGTGCACTCCTAACTAATTCCCCAATTGTTGTTATCTTTTTCCATTTTTCAATTTCTGCCTCTCACCCCTCTGTTTTTATTCTAAATTTCGGTTCAACAGAGAACAAACTTCTATATATATTTGTCACGGGAGGCACAACACTATTTCTAATTTCTAATTAAATGAAGAACAAAGAGTCCACTTTCAAAGCATGGACATGGATCCAATTAATCACTATTATTTTGTACCTCTTACGGATAAGATCTCCCATGTTGCCTCAATCATCTTAACTTGCTTGCAAAGGTAGAGCCTATAGATAGAGGAGAGATAAAATATTTAAGCATCATTAGGTTAACCAAAGTGTCTAACTTTCATTTGGCGCAACATTATAGTAATCTATATGTATGGATATTGGGTACCTAGTCTACTGCTTTGGTATGTTGCATATTTTTTTAAGCGCCACGTCAGGTTGCAGGTAAAACTTCTTTTTTAACTGGTACCTGCAAAGCAAAAAGAACATTTTCAATGTGTCTCAAGCTCTCGATTACACCAAGTGCAAAATTTAACCCTTATGAGAAAACAAACAACATGGGGGTTTAAAAATATTGCAATCAAACAGTGGTTGGCATTGCTGTCTCACATCCAACGGTCAAGATTGATGGTCAGACTAGTCATCAGCTGGTCACGCATGATAAAGTTTTCTTTCTTTCTTTCATTCTCTCCTTTTTTTTGGCAGGGCATGAATGACAGGCCTAATGAGTCCAGGACAAATGGGTGGCATGTGATAAAAGCCACACATTTTGTATTATGATAATGTTAAATTTCAATCTTTCTTTTCCTTTACCTGCAAGGATTGTATTTGTAAGTTCATACTTTGATTTTATTATATTTTTTGAAAGATCGTTACGAAAATAAGTTTCCCCCATGTTTTGGGCAAACGGGTAGATAAATTGGTAAGGAAAAAAAAGTTTATTCTTTAATTGGAAGGCTTTGATGAATGGAAATGGGCTATTGGATAGAGAATGGTGTTGTCATCTGTTGATTGGTTCCTGAAATGGGGCCAAACTTGTTTGTTTTTATTCTTGGCAATGATTAGAGGGTGATGCATCCCAGTGGAAGCCAAGATAGAGAAAAGGGAAGGCATGTGGTTGTTTTCATCGCACTTTCTATCATCTGGCCCTCTATTTTGTATTTATTTATTTAATTTAATTTATGAAAGAAAAGGGTTTTGGACACACTTCCTAGTTCCTCCCTCAGACGGTGTGGCCAGGTTTCATCCACATTGCCTACCCTCTTTTCTCTCTGTGGAGAATAATATTAATGTACTATACATGGCACTGCATTATTGGTATATATATGTATACACTCCATTTTGGCCATGACCTGATTCAGCTGCACGCATAGCTTTGAGGAGAGCATGTTAAATTATCAGCAACACATTAAGAATAAAAAAGCTGTGGCTAGAATGGAAAATTGGAAGCAAAATCTGTGAAAAATCTGACCAGCCTCGTATCCAAATGACAACCCAGAAAGCTTTGTCTCCTCGAAAGAGACAGGCTTTGCTGTCTTAACGCCCCATTAGCCAACCCAATATATTAAACAACAATGGAATTGGTCCAGTGCAATGATTTTCGCATTCAGCCAAGAAAGTAACAATGAATATTATATTTATTTCGTTTATTATAACCATGAATAGTTGAAAACCTATTTGAGATGAGAGTAAGACTGAGACCCCTTCTTTTCTCTCTCTCAGAATTTTCACCTCATAAAAGAGTAGTTAATTAGGTTACTTATGTCTTGATATGGAACACTTGGTCAAGTAGAGAAGCTCAATTGCTTATTATATTGATTGCTTTCTATCCTTGTAATGAGGTACATGCCTTCTGCATTTTTAAAGTTATATTGGTCAAAAATGATCTTCACTCCGTGAAAACAGCTAGGTTTTTTTACCTTTCTTAAAGATTTTCTCCGAATCTTGTATTTTTCTTGTAGTATTACCAGGATTTGGCACTTGAAAATCTTGTTATTAATCCATGTGATAAGATATGAATCAGACTTTATGAAGATACTTTTATGCAGCCCTCTTCCTAGTTAATAATCAATCAATTTGACTTCTCTAATACACACCAATAATTCTATCCATCCCCTCCTCTTAACCATGTTTCGTGAAGGAGCCAATTTGCATTCCACTTCCTCCTTTCGGACCATATTATAATATATATTTTGATGGGAAGTTCAACTCAATGCCTCTTAACACGTACATGTATGTAATATATATAATACAAAAGATTAGTTATATCAGGTGACCGCAGAAGACAAACAGCATTCATTAATGATGCTGCTATGCTTCCCAACATGGTTTTCTTACATTAAATAAACATAAACATACTATGCAGTTTCTTTTTTAATATGTATACATATCTTTTCACCCAGTTATGGTTCACAAACGGTTGACCTTGGATAAGCAAAACCAATTAAGAGCTGACTCATTACAAGTTTGATGATGCCAAACCATTGTCAAACTTCAAATGTGAACCAAATCTTATGATCATGGCCCCAAAAGAATTCGTGGGCTGCTGCCAATTATTGCTCTCAGGACATCAAAAGGAAAAAGGAACCATCTCTAGATACAGACGCGTTCTTATCACTTGGGAATTCAATTACCAAAGGGTTTCCACGTCAATTATTTTGATGCATTGATTTATTAAACAATCCTGATAACATATTCTTAATTATTAGTTAAAATTTATGTAACTTTTACTTTAAATTAAATTATTTTTACTTTTAATATTTTTATAATTTTTAAATAAATTTTAGTCAATAACTAAAATTATATTAAGAAAAGTATATGATTAAAAAGTGTATTATTAGCCTTCTTCTGTTTCTTTCTTTCTTATTTACCCACTCTTGAACTCATATGAATGGTCATATTGAGAAAGTGATGATAACTACCGAACCAACTAATGTATAGAGTTTAACGTGACTTGCGAGGGCGATGTAGTTGTAATGTTGCAATTTGTTGCTTTGTCACGATATTGACAATCAACCGGAGTGTAATAACAAAAGTGACCAAGAGATGAGAGAGAAATATGATATATATATAAAAAGTAAAACAGATCATGTGATGAAGAATAAAAAAGAGAGGAAATGAATTAAAAAAATAGAGTCTTTCATGTAAAGATGATACAAATTGTCTTACTTGGAGGTGAAAACAGACACAGTGGATTGACCATCGTGAATGGCCTCCATAACTGAGTTGATGTGGATTGTAAATTCGAAGTACATATCTGACATTTGAGCTTAATAGTTGTTAAATAAACGTGCCCATTAATTTGTGTTGGACAAGACTTGAAATTGAGTAATTTTTTTTATTTGATTATCTTTTCTCTGCTTAAATCCTTACCAAACAAGCCAGTAAGTTCTGAATATTGTTAAATTAACAGTAGATAGTTTATTTGTATAAAAAAATTCATTGATGAAATAAAAAAAATTTCGTTAATTTTAATATTTAAAACTGAATTTAAGTATTTAAAAATAACTATTTATTATTAAAAACATATTTATTATATTAAAGTTATAAAATATAATAAAATTTTCTACTAAGTATTAATTGATTAAATTCAGTATTATGAGTTGAAGTTAACATATTTAAAAAAAACGAATTAATATAAACTTATGTGACTACAATATACGCATGATGCCTCAGAATAAAACCATATGCATGAAACTATTGTTATATTAATAGTAGAATATATGTAAATTAAGCTTATTTTAAATTGAATAATCATCTAATGTTTGCGCTGTGTTATAGGCATGTTATGAAGGGGATTTAGTGTCATCCATCAATATAGATGATAATTAAGCCTTAGAATAAAACCACTAATCTGATCGTTTGTACCAAACGACTAGACAATTGTTAGGCAAGGGTTTAATTTGGGATTTGGTGGAACTAACGCGTTTCACTGTCTTATCTTGAATATTATAATCCGTGTTGTACTGAACAAGACTCTTTCTACACACTAATTAATTCCTTTGCTATAGCTACTTTGTGTGGTGATCTGCTTCTCTGCATTCTAAGAACAAAATCAAACAAACGAATGTCCAATTATTGTCCATCCTAATAACATTATATTAATCAAACGCATTTGCTCCAGTGTTTGCCTTGTTAATCAATCCATCCTTTGCTTATCCACAAAACAACCATCATCATAAACATTTTGTCTAATACGATAATAAACATATTGTTTAATGTGATTACATAGTGATGATGTCATCTTATTAGTTGCGAGAAAGCCAAAAGATCTGACAGAAGCCCTCACAATTGTAATTTTGGAGCCTTGAATATTTCAGTTTATATAATGTAGAAAAGACAGAGAGAGAGAGAGAGAGAGAGAGAGAACGTTACATAAAAAGGAAAATGTTTTTCAAATATTTGTCTTCGTTAATTTTGATGAATAATTTTGAATATCTGTAAACAAGAAATATATAAAACAAAAATCAAGTGTAAAATTATATATAATATTATTTTTTATGTTCAAATAATAAAAGTGACATAAAAAGAGATACTACACTTCAAGCTATGTGCAGGTGTGATGTCTACTTTGTTTGAGTTGGGAACTCCCTATATGAAGGTGGCCTCACAACCTTACTACCATAATTTGGTTCATTAGCAGTCATATAATTAATTATAGATGTATTAATTAGTAGTTAAGTATTTTCTTAGTTTATATAACTCATGTATTAAGCTTTCATCACACACATTACTAAAAATAAAAGAAAAGAAAAACGTGTACTAACGGAAAGAAAAGTTAATCACGCTAAATACTATCTAATACTTACATACTATTATATGATAAATTTTTTTTCTTATATCAATAAAATTATTGGTTAATGTAATAACATTATACTCTTTAGTGGTGACTTGTAATATTTATATTGTATATTTAATTTTTATTAAACGAAGTCACAATCAACGGAAATTAGATCAATGACTAGTTTAGTTTAGTGTTGATAGGTAAAGTTCACATTTCTAATTCCCCCCATCCCCCCTCTCCCCGCTACTTATAAATGTTACTAAATGTGAGATGATACAACCGAACCTTATATTCCTTGAAATATGAATAGTATGGTGTTTTTTGTTTAAATCCAAATATTATAATTTAAATGAAAATTATATATTAAAAAATATGGATTTTAGCTTTTCCTTTTTTTATTTTGGGTCAAGGATTTTAGCTTATCGAAACACGCTATTACAGAGAGTGAATACTTGAATACTTGAAACCTTGGTGGGTTTTCAAGATGACCGAACCAACTAACTGTTTTGGTCCATAGAAATCAAGCTGGTCCAATTATTTGTTTGGGCTGAACGTGATGGCCACTCTAGATCTAGAGTGCTCGTGTCAAGAAAAAGAAATCACATTGACCAAAAAGAAAAAAGAAAAAGAAAAATAAATCACGACCAAAAATTAAAAAACTCAAGATTCTAACCAAAAAATGTAGAAGACAGAAGATATACATTAAATTTGCGGAAGATAAGTATTTAATAGTGCAGAGAAGTAATCTAGTCAATTGTTAACCTATTAAAAGTGTCACTCGCAAAGTGTCCATTTTGCTCTAACAGAGAAAAATTTGGGCAACTAAGAATTGTGACCCGAGCGGTGCATTCTCAGCTCTGTCGCTTGATTCGTCATAGCGAAATCCAAACTTGACAGAAACCACTGATCCGAATCTTCGAAAACATGGAGTGACAATATTACTGTCTTTTTTGTGTATTGTATACCAACAATTGTCATAGTCTTCCAGTAATTAATGCACAATATTTAACATATAAAAATGTGAATAGACAAAATATTTTACTCGATGACGGTGATCCAAGCTGCCCAGCCATATGCATCTGGCTATTAATTGTAAACCAATACTGCTAGCCTTTTTGTGTTATTATTATTATTTCTATGTTAAGCATTTCTCTAGCATACTTATTCAAGAAAGTAGGGGAAATAATTCTTTTTCAGTTAACAATTTTACTTATGACAAGTTCTTCTCTTCCTTTACAGTTTGAAACAAAGTCAATTCAGCTTCTATTGACGCATCTATTTATCAGCTTACCAAAAATCCTTGCATGAACACATTCCATTTCTGAAATGATGATAGCGCACGCGGTCTCTCATAATAATATCACGACCATAGATTTGAGAAACGAGCTTGAAGGCAGAATGGCAATCCTCACACACCCTTAGATTCTTCACAATGCGCAGAGTTGTTCCTGGTTCTGTATGAACAAGTCCAAAAGCGAGTGCTACTTTTTCACTATGCTGCCTTAGTGCAGTTTCCTTTTCTTCTTCTTCAATGTCAAATAATACCATGGACGTGTTTGGTGAATAGCCTTCCATCCTCAGCTTCTCCATCATCCTTTCTAACATCACATATATTTCTTTCATTTGTGGGTGTGAGCAATGTCCCATTTTGAATTCATGAACTGTACCACCCATATCTATCATACTACTTCCAGGAACAGTCTTGATTCCTCTTTTTTTCATCAACTCTCTAACTCTAGTAACATCATCCCATCTTCCTGCCTTTGCATAGATGTTTGATAACAAGGCATAACGACCACTGTTTTGAGGCTCCATATCAAGCAAAATCCACCCCACTTTTTCTCCTAGCTCGACATTTCCATGTATTCTGCATGCATTCAAAAATGCTCCCCAAACTGCTGCATTGGGCTGTAACGGCATAGAGTCTATAAACTTCTCTGCCTCTTCTATAAGTCCAGCCCTTCCTAAGAGGTCAACTACACACCCAAAGTGCTCCATTTCAGGCTCAATCCCGTATGCTCCCTTCATTGAATCCAACATGGCTAGACCTTTTTCAACCATTCCAGCATGTGCACATGCATTTAGAACACCCACAAAGGTAATGCCATTTGGTTTCATTTTCTCCTCTTGCATCTTGGTGAAAAGCTCAATTGCTTCCTTTGCTTTCCCATTTATAGAAAGACCCCCTATCATAGCATTCCAAGTGAAGACTTCTTTCACTTTCATATTCTCAAACACTTCCCATGCCATGTCAAGATGCCCACATTTAACATACATGTCAACCAAAGCAGTCCCTAACACTGCATTCACCTGGAAAGAATTCTTTTGCACATATGAATGAATCCATCTACCTTGATCTAGAGACCCCAAATTAGCACAAACAGTTAGCAAACTTGGTAGTATATGTTGTTTTGGCTTTATCTTTTCCCGTTGCATCTCATGAAAAACCTCCAAGGCCTCCTTGTAACACCCTTCTTTGATATAACCGTCAATAATAGCACTCCAAGATCTTTCATCCTTCTTTCTCATATGATTGAACAAAGCCCTTGCATTCTCAATCATCCCACAACTAGCCAACCCAGTTATCATTATGTTACAAGACCCAACATTCTTAACCGGCATACACCGAAACAACTCAGTAGCACCTTCCACTTCTCCACATTTAAAGTATCCATCAAGCATGGCATTCCAACAAACCACATCACTTTCACCATTCTCATCAAGCATTTTCCTTGCCTCTCCCACTAGTCCAAATGATGCATACATTTGAATTCCAGCACTCTTAATGTGAAAATCTCCGCTAAGCCCGTGTTTCACTACATGCCCATGAAACTGAACCCCTTCTTTAACACAACCTTCAATGGCACAGGCCTTGAACAAAGGAGGGTAGGTGAACATGTTAGGCCTAGAGTTCAAGAGCACCATCTTATGGTAACATGATATAGCCTTATGTGGCTCCTTGTGTTCTAAGCTCCCTTTTATTAGTATATTGCATACAAAAACATTTGGCCTTGGGATGTTATCAAAGACTCTGAGTGCCAAGCCAAAGTTGTTGAAAAGAGGGTTGGCATAGCACTTGACTAAGGTTCCTGATGCATAATGGTCTTGGAAATGACCAGTTCTCAATATGATAGCATGGGCCTGTCTGAGATGTTGCAGAGAATTGAAGCATTTGTTGTTGAGAATATGTAGGACTGTTTTCTGTGAGAGTGTTGAAGTGAGAGTACTCTCAGTTGAGTGCTCCTCTGATTTGAGGCAAGCAGGAAATTTTGTGGCTGTGATACTGCTCATCTTCTCAATGTTATCCAAAGACCAGGAAGCAAGATTTATAACGAGGGAGTTTAGATTCTACGAGCCTGAAGTTGAAATAACCCGTTGGACAGTGAATTCCAAGTTGAGTCCACTATATGATTTTTTTGGGGCTGGATATTTATTTTCAGATTATCCTTTCCTTAGCAGGTGAGAAATTAATCAATACAACATCGAGTGTGGGACCCTCTTAACATTATTTTTCATATACTGGATGACTTTTTTATTTTTTATTGGCTGTGACTACCATGTGCATGTGCTACTAGTATTACACAATTTACAATACTGCACTTTCTTAGGATTTTACTTAAATCAATAGGGTAGAATTATGTAGGAGCCATCCAAAAACACAAATTTATATAACATCCCTCAATGCTTAGTGGAAAGTAATAATTTCTTTAAATGTGAACTTCTCTTGCAAAACTATTCTCCATAAAAAGCCAATAATTTTTTTTAAGAAAAAAAATACTTGCAATATTTGTGTAATGGAACAAGGACCATTCTTAAATATAGATTTATATAGTAGCACCACCCCACTACCAAAAATATATAGTTGCAGCAGCGATTTCTTTTGACTTTGAAACGTGAGAAGTGTACAATTGTTTATGCAAGTTTCATTGCTTAATTTTTATCCAGTTTTTTTAAGATTTATAACTCCTAAAGTGTTAACCGGAATGGCCTTAACCCTTAAGTGAGTTCCATAATTTCATTTACCAGTTTTAGTATCCCAACAGAAAAGTAGTTTTCTACAGGAACCATACCAACAAAAGTTTTTGTTGCATTCCAAGCCTTAGTATATACATCTACATACTTCACTAAAGAGCCGCGGAATAATGCCATGCCATCCAACAATTCCACTCTCGTTGTTGCTTCTGTTTCAAAACCATATATATATATATATATATATAAGCAGCTCCGTTTGAGTCATTAAAAAGTGAAAATTGCTGGATGCATAGTCATTGCCTAAGCTAAAAAACAACTAACCTACAAGTTTGTAAACTAGTAGAGTTCCTTGGATTCCTCAGTTGGAAAATCTAATGAACAAGCAGCATCCCATTCCATTAGAAATAAAGTTTCCTTGGATGTTTTTTCGGTCATTTTAAGAGCTAATCCCACTTCTGCTTTATTGACAAAGGAGTCATCTGCCTCTGGCTGCAAAGTTACATGGTAATCATCAGACAGACTAGGCCTCTTCTCTTCCCTGGTATCATGCATGTTCTGCTGTTTATTGTGACTGATCATCGCTTCCTTAAATTTTTCCTTGTTCTTCTTGCTTTCCTCCACATATGGCTGCATGAAAAGTAATAACAAGTAGGCATAAGAAAAAGAACAAGGATTATTGGATTAATCTTCCAACAAGTTATTATGTCAACTTCTGCATACCTGTTTCTCAATTTCAGACATCTTCTTCCATGCATCAATAGCCATGTGTAGGATTCTGTGGCCATCAGAGGCCTCATTACGCGTTCTCAATCGAGCACATTCCTGCTTGATGAAAATTTGATAGGCATTCTTTTGTCCTTGTGGAGCACCTCGGCGTTTTTTCATTTCTTTGTCATTCGAGGGTATTGCTAAAAGCACCGGTCGTTCTACAAACCCTGCCCTTGCTTTAAGTTGGAACATAAAGCATTGCATAATAAGCACTTCTAAATCACATGAACCACCTTAAACTCATCCAAGAGACCACTTAGTTACCAAAGACAACCTCTGTCTATTGTTTTAGGATTTGGGAAGTGTTTGGCCAAGTAAACAAAATTAACAAACCTGTCATTTGGCTAGAACAATCCTTTGACATTTTTGTCACCACTTGACCATCTTTAGTATCCCTTATTTGAGATAAACTAACTGTTGAATTATGCTTCCTCTTTAGTAGACCTTTGAGAATTGAGTAGGATATAGGAAATAAGAAAGAATTTTTTAAGGTTAAACAGTTCATTTTCAGCCTAAAACCTTAGTGTAGTAAAAACATCATATAGTAAAGCTGAAATCTAACATATGTGTGAAACTGCACAGAAGTAAATATAAATGTAAGTCATATGTGTAGAAACACCCAAGACACATCCCCATATATCAAACATATGTGTGAAGAACCAGATTGAATCATTATCTACTTAAGTCTTAAAATAACCACAAATTGGTATCATAGATTAACCTTTGGTGCTGCTAGTAGCAGCAGGTTTTGTAGGACTCCTGTAGAAGTACAATTGCTCAAATTGGTAAAGAAGATGAGCATAAAGCATTTCAATTTGAGCACATAACTTAACATTATTTCCTTCCAATTTCAGAGCAGAGACAACTTCGCTCCATTTCTTTTCTCGGCCAACCTGGAAACATTTAAGAGAATTCGTAACATGATGTTGAATTTGAAATCTGACACAAATACAAATTCATCAAATGATGTATATAAATTATTTTAGCCTCTTTCGATTATTATAGATTAAAGACTTACATAACTGATTTGAATCAATAAACTTGATATGCACATAGAAACTCCAAATGCGCAGCCATATATACGCTTTTATAAATTAACATAAAAATACAACTACATTTAAATTCATGTAAGGTCAATGTCGAACACCGGGCAATATACCTGGTGATATCCTCCTCTTTTGGTCACCTCCAAGTAAAACAGGTACAAGTCCAACAATGTTTCTCGGACATTGAAACTGCCAAGTAGAATTGGAATAAAGCATTATTCACACCTTTCACATTTCACCACATCTATAATATAACAATTGCGTGTTAAAAATCAACGACACGTTAGAAAACGATAGACTTAAAAAGATAAATAATTTATTTAATAAATTATATAGTTCCTAAAAAGTCACAAGTTCAACACACAGAAAACAATTTTGAGACCAACTCGGTTAAAAGTTAAAACATAGAAAAAGGCTTGACTTTTGCTTGCATGCAACCAAACAGAACAGTAAAAAGAAAAGAGGGGGTATGAGTAAACTCACATTAGGGTGAGTCCAGAGGATTCCAACAACTCAGTGAGTTTGAGATAGAAGATGTCCGAGTCATCATTTGATGGTGATGGAACCATCTTCTTCTCTTTGCCTTTGCTTTGGGCTTGCATGTTTGAGGAAGTAATCACTAAGCATGAAGACCAAGTAGTTAACTAACGTATGTGAATGGTATATGGGTGGGGACAGGGGAGGAGTTGTCTCTATGCAACTACGACAGCTATGCACTACAAGCTTGTACGTGGCATTCTTCTTCTTCTTCTTCCCTTTTTTTTAATCTTTTATTTCAATCGTTATTTTTTTGCCTGCAAAATTTCGTGAAAAGAGAAGAATACCTCATTCTAATATATAAACAGAATATGAATGTTAATATATGTTTAGTTTAGTTTTTTTAAATTATTTGTTTTTGTTGATCATAAAGTCTCTATTTGATAAAATTTGTATTTTTTTGTTTTAACATCGTTGTATCATTTTACTTAACAACATAATAAGATTTAAATTCATGATTATTATACATTTAAATTCAAGAATTAATTTTTCATACCACTATAATCACTTTTATCATATTTGAAAATAGACATCATCGATGCTTTTCAATTTGACAATATGCTTTAGATTAACATAAAAAATTATCTTAAGGTGTAAAAATTTTAGGTAAGAATAGCTTGGTTACGGAGGATTCTCAATTCTAAGAAAACCCTCCCAACCATATTTTATTTAATAATATTTTATTATGTTAATGGATGCTAAGGTTTAACTACTTTCTTAATTACTATTTTACTGGCTAACTTTTCAATATTTATTAATTTTTTAAATTTCTGTGTAACCCGACAAAATTCAATGCGCTGCATGGAACAACAGCATTCACAGGTTTGAATTATTGTGAAGTGAAGGACAATCTCATGAAATCCATAACTTTACAATTATAACACATTCTTATAAGCTTAACCAACGGTAAATAAACAAATTTCTCCGGCAAGTCATTTTTATAAGAAAAAAAAAATTATTATAACTAAAGAAAATAATAAAATTAATTATATTTTTTATAAATATAAATTTTACTCTAAAAATACTCATAATATTAAATGATAAAGTCAATGACTTATATATTTAGTTATGCTAATAAAAGAAGAGTATTAAAAAAATTTAGTAATTACTATATTTCAAACTTATCCTATATTTTTTTGTTATTAGGACTAAAAAAATACTTTATTTTATTCTATATAAAAGTATCAAAAAGTTTATATTTTAAACTCATTGCTATTGTAAAGTTAATTGATAATTTATCTTATTATGATTTTAATTATAATTACTTATTTGGTGGCCATGATGAGGATGTATAGGATAAGATAACTATTGTACATGTTCTTAATCAAGCATTGGTTGAGCCACAATGATAGAATTAAGGCTTAATAATATTTTTGTTTCTTATAAATATCAAATATTTTGTGATAAATCTTTATACATTTTTTTTATTAAAATTTAGTTTTTATCATTAATCCCTTTCTATTAAGTGCTAAGCTAGTTAACGGAGAGTCAACTAACGCAGTATTACTTCATGTGTATCACATGATGTTATTTAAGTTTTTTATTATTTAAAATTAATATTTGCACATAAATTCTGAACACATTTTACATAATTACAAATAAACTAGTCTTATTCCATTTTCCTTTTCGTAATCTCTCCTCCTCTCTTTCTCCACCCATCCTTGTCCAAGAGAGCATCCAAAGAATCCTAATTGTCTTTTCTCTCTTTCCTATCAACTAAAACACCTTTTTTCATTAACAAATAAAAAAAAAAAAACAAAAACCTCATTGAAAACACATGAATTCAAAACTCAAAAACTTATGACCATTTGGTAGGTGGACAACACAACATAATTAAATTTAAAGTTAAAAAAAAGATAAAAAAAAAAGATAGAAAAAATTAAATAGAGAGGCATAACAGTTTAAGAGAGGGGGAGAGAGTAAGAATAGGGATAGGGATGGAGGTGTAGGGAGAATAGCGGGAGTTGTAGTTTAGGAGAGAGGGTGGTGGGGATAAAAGTGTGAGAAAGGAAAAAGAAAAGGAGAAAGAAGGGGAGGGGGGGGGGATGATAATAGAGGTGTGGGAAGGAGTCGCCGGTTAGAGAAAGAAAAGGAAAAGATAGCAAAATGGGATAGAGAAGAAGATGAGTTTATATGTAATTACATAAAAGATGCTTGTTACAGTACTCCTAAATTTGAGGAGTATTGAATACTCTTGTATAAAATGTGTTAAGAGACTTATTTGTAAATATTAGTTTTAAATAATAAATAAAATAAAATAAATGACGCGGCATATGTAGTGTCATTCTTCGTCAATTAGTTAACAAAAGAGAATTGACAGCAAAGATTAAATCTTCACTTTTTATTAGGATTTGAGACTAAATCCTAACAACAAAAATTTATTTATAAAGACTTACCATGAAATGCCTAATATTTATAAGAAATAAAAAACATAATTAAGTTTATAATTAATTTATTTGTTACATATTGTATTTTATTGGACTAGTGTAATTATTATAAAGAAGATATGATTGAGTTAAAAGCAGAAGTAAATAATCATAATTATCTTTCTCCAACTACTCTTAGTTTTATTCTATTATCTTTCTCTCTCTCATCTCCCTCCTCTCTATTTTTATATATATTTAAAAATTTAAAAATATTATTTTATTAAATATTTTTAAAATATAAAATATTTATATATATTTTTTAAAATAAAATAAATAACATAAAAAAAATATAATTTAATAAATATAGACAAAATGATATTTTATTATTTTTAAAATATTTATATCATATTTTTTTTTACCAAGTTGGCATTAAATATTAGATATAACAAAAGTTTGTCATGTTTTTATGATATTCTATTCTTATCTAACCTTTTTATCCAACCTCTTATTCCTATCCGTCCTGATCGTAGTATTGTGACCACCAAATGGGTCCCGGATAATCTCACCAAAAGTTTTTCAATAAATTAAAAATTTATTTTATTAGCTAAGATAATTGTTTAACTAATTTTTCTAATTTTACATACTGAAACAAATTGAGAAAAACTTAACAATAGTGTGTGCAGGGAGAAAGTTCATATTACGTATGAAAAGTCGTGCATTTTTTAAGAAGCAGAGGTAGATATTTCACCACTATTACATACTATGACGGCCAACGAACAGATTCCAGCGCCACATTTTCTTCTTTTCCAAACAATATTGTTGCAAAAGGCATCAATTTTAAGGCAAATATAACATGATGTTTAAAATATAACATTTTCATATTCATGCTTACTTTAACACTCTTAGATATAAACTCTACATTAGATTCATTTAAAATTTATAAGTTGTCAAACTAAAGTAACATTTTTTTTATAATTAAAAAGTCAAATCTATGTTGTCGTTTATTTTATGGTTCTTTGGCAGAACTTGTTGGATCTTGCGGCGGAGCTGGATTTGCAACAAAGCAAAGGAAGCTATGCACGGTTAGATTTTTTAACATTAATATTAATATTTATATTAATTTGTGGATTAGTATTATTAAATTATTATAGTTATATTATTATTAATTATGACATAAAATAAAAATGTATAATTATTATTAATTATATAGATTTTTGTGATTGGACTCTTAGTATGAATAACCATGATGGGTTGAGTCATTTTATGTGCCTAATGAGAAGTTCCTGTTCTCATATGATTAAGCTTATATATAACTATTGCCCTGTTAGATAGTTACTAGTGTGGGATAATAGCAATAAGAGAAGAGAGTAGTACACGCTCACTTAAAAACAAGGATTGCTTATGACTCATAGGTTCTCATCAGGTATGAGTTTAATGCAATTAATCAATTATATATAGTTAGAATTATATTGAGATGTTATGATCTGTATTATATATAATTATGGTATCTTTAATTTTATATATGAAATTTTTGTAATATATTAATTAATATATAAAATTTCTGCAATTGGTATAAGAGACAACTTAATACACATCATAATTTTCTAACTTTGAGCAACTAAAATGCTATAATTTTATTTATGGATTTAAAAAATAATTTAAGGTTTTTTGTTCCTCTTATATTCATAAATATCATATCCAAAAATTGTTAATTTTTGTTGGGTATGTTAAGAGAATTTCGCAGTTTCTTAATTTTTGAAACCCTAAAATCGTTTTCTTTCAAATTCTCTCAAAAGGGCAAAGGTTTATTTGAAAATTGATTAAGGGCTTTTGTTAATAAATTGAACACGAACATAATCTAATAATTAATTCATTATTTCATTCAATTTAGATTGAGAATTTATTATTTCTTTCGTTTGCGTTCATCGTTACCTTATTTTTGTTTTGATTCAATTCCCTCAAACAAAAACTATTTTCAATAAGTAGCCATAGGGCTTTTGTTGTACACATCACAAAAAACATAGTGGACCCTACTCGTTGAAAGAAAATGTTTAGGTTGCTTGAATTCTCACTTTGAATCCTCCATAGTTGAAACTCTCTTTTTTGGTTCAAAATACACCTCTATGGCTTTGGAATGGCATGAATTGATGCTCTAGAACTCAAGATTAAACTGAGTCGATTTTCTCCAGTTTGTAAGACCTATTTTGCAACATATAAGTTTTTTTTTCTAGGTGTACAAAGCCCACTCGCGGGGCTGGAAGAGTGTGTCGCATGGAGGATGCTCTAGGGCCCGTTTGGGCCAATTTTTTTTAAATTCTTTTGAAATTAAATTTATGATATTTTGGACAATTTTCATCATTTTTTGGGCACTGTAGATATTTTTAATCATGTCTAAATTAATTAAATAATTACTATATTGAAGGAATTATGGGCCCAAAATTTTTATACATAATTACACTATTATTTATACATTTTTATACTATTCATTCTCCCTTTGAATGTAATATGTTAAATTTTATTTTCTTGGTTTTATATCAAGTATTTGATGTAATTATGGTATAATTATGATTTCATGCATAACATACATATTTAAATTAATTCTGAATGCATGATTATTCTGTATAAATGTCATCCCACCTATCGTGAGACCATTTATACATGATTTA